CTGGAGTTGATTGGGAACCCCATAAGTCTGAATGTACATACTCAAGTATCCCTTTAGTAGTGTGCTTGGCCTTAGGGAAACTTTGTTTGTGTGACTTGCCTAACACGCATCCTTCACAGAAGCCCAAAACTCCAACTTTTTCCTTAGGCAGAAAACCATTCTTGACCAGTTCCTCCATGTTCTTGAGACTCATATGACCTAGTCTTGAATGCCATAGACTTGTCATATGTTTCTTCGAGGCTGAAAGGTTAGCTTATGCATTTGATACCTGACCTTGGAGATAATACAATCCTTCTTCGTATTTTCCCGAGATCACCTTTTGGCCGTCTTTGTAGAAAGTGACTTGATAGTCTTTACCTTCATACTTCCACCCTGCCTTTTCAAGCATACCATAGGATATCAGGTTCCTGTTCATATCGGGCATGTAGCGAACATCAGTCAATACCACTCCGGTTCCATCAGGGTTAGTGATTCTGACTTTACCAATTCCTTTTACTTCACTGAAAGTGTTGGTTGGCATTAACGCTTTCCCTCCATTAACTTCCTTTAAATCAAACAACAACTCCCTGTTCGGCGTAATATGGAAAGTGCATCCAGAGTCCAAAACCCAAGCATCTTTTGCATCTTGCATACTAACCGTAAGAACCAGTGGCTGTTTTACCTCTGATGCCACGTTTGCTGAGGATTCACCACCTTTCTTCTGCCTTTTTTTCGGACATTCTCTTTTCCAGTGTCCTTCCTTTCCGCAGATGAAGCAGGTGGTATTTTTGAAATTGTTTTTAGACTTTGACCTACCATTTTTGGACTTTAATCTACTTTTGCCTCCTTGATTTCCAGACCTCTTCTCAGACCTTCCTCGTGACTCAACGTATAGGCCTTCTGCTGAGGACTTGCTCTTTTGAAGGAGACCCTTCTGACGTAATTCAGCTTCCTTCGAGAGAGCTGCTATTACTACTTCTTCCACTGTTAGTGTTTCTTTCTCACTGCCGTATTGAAGCGTGTGAACCAAAGGTTCATAAGCAGAAGGAAGCCCTGACAGAAGCTGTATTGCCTGATCCTCATCTGATATGGTAACTTTTAGACTTTCCAAATCAGCAATTAGCTTCAGGAATATGTCAATATTCTCTTCTATTGACTTATTCTCTTCCATTCTGTAACAGGATAACTGCTTCTTCAAGTAAATCCGGTTTGGGAGTGATCTTGTCTGGTAGATCCTTTCGAGTGCCTTCCACTGATTCAAAGCGGTGCTCTCGTGCATAATCTTCCTCAAGATTTGATCGCTCAAGCAAATTCCCAGTAGGCTTCTTACCCTTCGATCCGTGGCTTCCTTTTTCTTATCCACTTCTGGTTTTGAAGAGTCTACCACTGTGCCATCTTCTGACTTTGTTTCGTCTTTCTTTGGAACAGGTGTTGTGTATATGGTGAAGTCTTCTTCCAATACAGATAACAAACCCTGGACATCGAGCTGTCCCATCATCTTGTACTTTCATATTCCGAAGTCTCCTTTTCCATCGAACTTGTCCATCTCAAAACGACCTCGAGTTGGCTCCATACTGATTTTTGGATCTTTATCTTTGCTCGCAGGTTCTTAGGCGTGTACTCTACCCAGATCGACTGAATACAAAGAAACGCAACGATAGATCAAGATTGAACCTCTACACCAAGATCTTGATCCAACCTTCCAAGGGAGAAAAAGATAAGTTCCGATGCTTAGTCTCTATTCCTAGAACTCCTTAGCTATCCAACCTGGACTGCTCTGATACCACTTGTAGAGATTCTAGTCTAGGAATATCAAATTCGCAGGTAAATTCAGATAAGCAATCAAAGAAACAACGCGATTTGTTCACCCAAAGTTCACCGATATGGCTATGTCTCTAGGGAGAGAACGGGATCTCTCAACTGCTTCCACTATCGAATCGTTTACAAAGATGTGCCCGAAGGCGCTTGACAATCTTAACAGAGATTAGCTTAAAGAATAAAGGAAAAAAATGATCGGGACCGGAATCTTTCCACCGGAACACCGCCTTAACACCTAAGCTCCGATCACACTCTCTCTCTACTGTATTCCAGCTTTCTCTCTCTATAACAGACTGAACTCTCTCTCTGTTCCTTGTACAGCTCTCGCAAAGAAGAAGACGACCTCACAATTAAATAATTACCAGCCCTTTTAGGATATAGGCCCAATCGTGAAGTCTCGTGGGCCTTCGACACAGTCTAGTGTTTGACTGAACCCAACTCACCTAACAATCATAAAAATGAACTGTTTTAGAATTTACATGATGTTTAACCTATGAGATTGGTTCCATGACAAAAATAAAATAAAAACATAGAAGCAATGAGAAGATCAGAAGAGTATAATTGTTTTAAATGTACAAGTTTCTAAATCTAAATGTAAGTTTGCTAAATCTAACTCTGCCTAAATTAGAGGTGATAGAAGAAGAATAAGCAGTTTCTTCTTTTTCAAAACCCGATATAAAAGCTGAGTTAACCACCCGGTTAATTTGCCTTTTGCAGCAAGTCCCACGGCCACGAGGTATCGCTAGTAGATTTTGCATGGGTTTGCTACTTTGCTGTGAATTATGCTGTTGATGGCAGATCTCGTAAATACATTGACAATTATGACCTATAAGTTATAAGTAAATTCAGAAATAGAATTCTGACGTGGCATATAACTACTACGCACCGCCGGAAAATTCAGATTTATTGTAAATGGTAAAGAAGTAAAAAATAAACGGCTGAGCAAAATATTGCCGACAAAACCAATGAAATAAAGTAAAACAATTATAAATTTTAGTTTCTAGCTGATTACACGGATTTTTTAGATTATCCTGATTTTAATTTTATACATTTTTTTTTTGGTGTGCCGATAAAGTAATTTCAATATTCAGTGATATAAAATCATAAAAATAGTTATGCGAAAAATAAGGGAATAATATACTTAACATTAATAGTATTGTTATTTTTTTCGGGTATTAGTATCATATTTATATCTTAAAACACTAGGATTATAGGTTATGGATTTGTATGAAAATCTCATTGCTATCCAAAACGTATTAGACATTACATTCTTTTATTTTTTTCTTGCATGATAAGATATTACATTAAATTTGATTTTTAAGTATTTTAAGATAATCTCTAGTCAAAAACATGATGAAATATACTAGTTTTGGATAATAGTATGGATAATTCCGAGAAAAAATAGTAAACTTTCTACACACAATTAATCACATTAAATTAGCGTTGACCAAAGTTTAATAACTCAGATAATTAAATTTTTAGATAAAAGAGTGGAGGTACGTTTGAGTCAATGTAGTTGTTACTATTTTTTTTCGATCGAGGGCCAACTCATACTATTATTAAGTCTAAAGCAAAAAAACAAAAATTCCAAGCCATGAACACAAAACAAGGAGTCGAGACTAATAGATGTAATTAACCTCTACATCACAACCACATTCGCAAAATTTGAGGCTCTTGAATTGTTACTTTGGCGTCTATAAATCACCAGTTTTATGGATTTTAGTCCAGAGCCGGACTTTTGGGAAACCAAATCTTTTTTCAATTTGTTTGGAACGATTCCAAAAAGGTGTTATCCACGTGTCGCCTGTTAAAGACCAACAAAATTACAAATCACTCCCAACAATTATTTACTTAGCTATTCTTTTAGTTTTAATTTATAAAAATTATAATGTTTCGTGGGTATACAAAAGTTTTAGAAAAATTTGTTTTGTGGATATACAAAGTTACATGGGAATTATATACGATAATTTGTATTTGGGCATTTGACCACAATAAATGATTTGCTTTAAAATGGACAAGCTTCTAAATCTGCCTTTGCGTGAATTAATTATTTTTTCGCTATTTTAGAAATACATAGTAGACGTTGAAATATGAAGTTGGCGCTTATATAACTAAAATTGACTTCATGATAAAACATGTTTGCACTGGAAGAACAAACCGGAATTGCTTTTCATAACCGATATAAAAGTTGAAATAACCATCCGGTTAGTTTGCCTTGGGCAGCAAGTCTCACCAGGATATCGTTAGTAGATTTTGCATGTGTTTGCTGTGAACTGTACATTTACACTGTTGATGGCAAATCTCGTAATTACATTAAAATATTACGACCTATAAGTACTTTTAGAAACAGAATTCTGACGTGGGCGTATAACAACTAGTACGGACCGCCGGAAAATTCAGATTTTTTTTTTTTTTTTTTTTTTGATTTGTTTTTTAATAAATGGTAAATAACTGTTTTAAAACGATTGAGCCAAAAATGATATAAACTAATAAATAAAACAATTATTAATTTTAGTACGCTGATAATACGGCTTATATATTTAGATTGCCCTTATTTCAAAATTATCCATACTGTCATTGTTAACACCTCTATGATCGATCATACAATTTTCTTTTTGTCCGCTGATCAAGTAATTTTCGTATGCAACGATATAAAGTGATATCTCTGACAAAAAAAAATATATTCTTAGTTTTCTTTTCCAGGTAAAAATTAGTTATATATACATTAAAAAAAATATCCATATAGGTTATGAATTTGTATGAAAATTTCATATTGCTATTCAAAACGAATTAATTAGACTTTACATTCTTTTTTTTTGCAGGATAATATTTTACATTAAACACGATTTTAAAGTGTATTAAGATAATCTCTGATAAATTAAAAAAAAACATGCTAATATCTACTAGTTTCGGATAAGAATCCTAATAATTCCGAGAAAAACGATGGTAAACTTTCTAAATACACATTAAATCGCATTAAATTACCTTTGAACAAGCCTTTAATCGTTTAAGTAATTATCGTTTTTTTTTTTTTTTTTTTTAAAGATTAATGCGCAGAGATTGTAACAAACCTTGGACGAATCTTTGACTCAAACGTCTCTCTTATCTAAATCTCTCTCTCTCTCTCTCCCTATATATACGTGTATATATACATATATACATATATATAATCCACACGCATAAACCCCTAAAACACTCTCTCCATCGATTAGGTTTCCTTCTACACTTCGTCTTCTTCATACACTCTTCGTCTTCTCTTCATCAATCTCTTTTCACCGTTCGATTTCACAATGGTTGACGCGAAAAAAGTTCGTTTCATCATCGGAGTTATTGGTACGATCTATCTCCTTCTCTCTCTGTTTACATTCATATCGTAACGATTCAATGTAGTTTTAACAGAGGATTTGAATCCGAAACAAGTAATAGATTGCTCTGTTTTTCATGGATTTCTAAAACGATCTGTTTGATCGATAAGTTTATGTGTGTCGAGCTTTACTCTAATGGCGAGATCTCTTCTCTCGTTTGTTATTGGCTTAGAAAATCGATATAGCTTCGTTATGAGTCCCTCGCTAGATATATTGTTCAATGCGATGAAATAGTTTATCATGCTTTCATAGAATTGTTGAATCGATGATCGCTAATGCATTGATTCATGTGTCATGTGTGTTTAGCTTGATTCTTACGACGGATCTCTGTTTGGAAACCGAATTCATAAACATGGTTTTATTGAATCTTAATCGATCGTTAATGCGCATATATATTCATGTGTGGTGTGTGTTGAGCTTGAATCTTATGATGGATCTCGGATTTGAAACCGATACAGCTTCGTTTTGTGGAATCTTAATCGATTGTTAATCCATAGATTATGTGTTTAATCTCGATCTATTTTCATCCTAATAACGATCTCGATTAGATCGATATGTGACTAACAACAAGTTCTCTCTTACTTTGATTCAGGGAATGTTATTTCCTTTGGTCTCTTCCTTTCACCAGTGTAAAATCTCTTTCCCTCTATCTACTATGAACGTTTCTTTTGCTGGATTATATCATTGTCTTGTATATTATATAGTTTGAGATTAATAATTAACATTATCTTATACAGGCCAACGTTTTGGAGGATCATCAAGAAGAAGGACGTTGAGGAGTTTCAGCCGTATCCATACGTAGCAACAGTGATGAACTGTATGCTTTGGGTTTTCTATGGTCTCCCTGTTGTTCATAAGGATAGTATCCTTGTTACCACCATTAATGGAGTTGGTTTAGTCTTCGAAGCTGTCTACTTATCCATCTTCGTCTACCACTGTGGCAACAAGAAAAACTTCCGTGTATGTTTTCTTCAAACAATATTTATCATTAAAGATTAATGATAAAAACTAGGATCTTTGATTAATGATGAGTGAATGATGATTCTTTTTTATGTTTGTGCAGAGGAACATTGGGTTATATCTTCTGGCTGAGATAATTGCTGTGGCAGGGATTGTTTTGATAACGCTTTTCGCTATTCAAAACGCGTTTGCTAAACAAACATTCGTTGGTGTTATCTGTGATATCTTCAACATTGCTATGTATGGAGCTCCTTCACTTGTCATCGTATGTTCTCTCTCTCTCTCTCTATCTCTCTCTCTCTCAATCTCATAGTTAAAATACTTACTAAATTATTGTTTCTGTTGATTAAATGGTTTTTCTTGTGTGTGTGTGTGTGTGAATTTCACAACAGAAAAAAGTGGTGGAGACGAAAAGTGTTGAGTACATGCCGTTTTTGCTATCTTTCATTAGTTTCATCAACGCTGTGATATGGACTACTTACTCTTTGATCTACAAAATCGATCTCTACGTCCTTGTAAGTATTTTTTTTTAATTGATCATGGTCAATACTTGCTTTGGATTTTGTTGAATTAAATACATTGATATCATTTGTAACTTTTTGTGTGTGTTTTTGTTTTAATTGTATACAGATAAGCAACGGTCTTGGAACGTTATTGTGTGCATCTCAGCTTATCGTCTATGCTATCTACCGCAAATCTACTCCAGTAAACAAAACCGCGAAGCCGTCGGAAATTGAGATTCCGGCGACGGAGAGAGTCTGAAGTTTGGGTGTTTTTGGATCTTTCTACTACTACTACGTACATATGCATGCACATTTGTGTGTATGTATAGGATCTTTTCTTTTATCGTTTCGGCTTTTTTGGTTTGAGTTGGTAGATTTTTAATAAAAAACTGTTTCTGGATTTTTTGGAGATATCGATTTGTCAGGAATTTTTTTTCCTCATTTTTTTTTTTTGGTGTGAAACGGTTTTTGACGTGATAATGAGTTCTGGTGATTCAATTTTCTGTTTATTTATTTATCTATTATGTTTATATGTTTTTCATTTTCTTTGTTCTTATCTGAGAATTTATTCAAGAGAAATGCCCTCTAAGAATATATACTAGATCATATTTTGGTCAAAGTGATTCTCTTTATAAGGAAAACTGGATTCTGAAAATAACTACCCATTTCTAAACAAAAACCAAAATCTATGTTTTTGTAATTTTTTTTCATTTAATAAAAACACACAAAATGAAAAGAGATTAAACAGAAAAAAAAATGATTCCAAACTATTAAAGAAAATAACAAAATAATTTGTTTAGCGTTTAATATCTAATATAAAAAATACGAAAAATAACTCATGTTAATCAAAATCTTTCTTAAATTTAAATAAATCAAATTTTTATTCATTAGTTTGTGTAAATTGATGATATGAAAAAAACATCTGGAGGTGTGGGTATCTTTGAAAGAGCATACATCTACCGCACCAGTGGACATTCAAAAAGGACACTGAACTAAAAGATTCATAGCCTAAATATTTGAACAGTGAACTAGGGTTACAAATTCTGTATCTATGATATTCTAAAACAATATGTTGTCAGCAAACTATATTATAAGACTAAATACGGCACATCCAGCTACCAACTTTTGAATGGAATTCCGAAATTGGCCCAACCCATATGATTCACATACTTTATCTATTATAACTTTTTTGACAGCAGATTTGACTAGAAATTTTTTTTTTTTTGGTCAAAAAGTATAAATGTTTTATCAAGAGTCAATAGCTCAGCTGGTAAAGATCTCAGGTAAAACTTAGAGGTCATTAATTCGAGTGGCTCTTGAGACGGAACCATATAACATGCTTTGGTTTCAGGCCTGAGGGGATGTACGAGCTTAAGCCCATAACTTCTTCCGGATCTGAGAATTTGGGGGTTAAAAACAATTTAAGAACAAATATTTTTTTTTTGTGATTTTGGGGGTTGAAAAATTCGTAAATAACCAAAGAAAAATTTTGGGGGTTATAGGTGGATGTTTCATCAGGCTGTCCCCAGATCCGGCCCTGCTTCTTAGTTATTCAAAAAAAAAGTATAAACGTTTTGAAAAAGCAGAGAACTATCCAAAAATGCCACGACAAATTTAATATAACAAAAAAAAATTTGAAAAAGCAAAAAGTTCTAGACAAAAGCTCATATATCTTTCAGGCCCAAAAAATATAGAAATTATTACATCCAAACCCACTTTCTGAGTTTATATTACAAATTCAGTGACTTCCTGCTATTTGGTGACTTAACATGATCAAAATTATCTACATATCCTTACAATTCACAAACCTTTTTACTCTGTAATTATTACAAAATCGATTTTTTCTGTTAACCTCTCTCTCTCTCTTTCACAAATACACCAACAATAAACAAATCTTTCTATAAATTCTTAAATTTTGTTTTTATAATTTTGTTTTCTGATAAATTCTCTTTTTTTTTCTTTTAATTCATCAACATCGTAATTGTTAAACTCTAAATATAGTTTTTTCTCTGATTTCATTAAAAATATTTGAAAGCAAAAAACGCCTTCAACATGTTCGATAAAATGCGTGAGAGAAGCATGTGTAAAACGTAAAATATGTTTTAATGGACATGTGTGTATGGACAAACTATCATGGATCTGAATAGTAAATATATTTTAATAGATATATTTGTATGGACAAGCTATCATGGATCTGAACCTTGTTCATACACATATGGTTAAACAATTTAAATCTTAGACTCTTTAATGTATTGGTGGATAAGTTAGTTTGGACAAATTTTGTATGGACACGTTTGTGTGAACAATACTAGTTTAATACTGAAGGTTTTTTATAAAAATCACAGTTAATTAGTACAAATACAAATACACATTTGTCCATAACTCGTCATCCATGTGAGACCGTCCATACATGAATATATGAATGTCCACAATATGATATGCACGTATACTTGTCCATATCACTCTTGTGTGGATTAATAGCCGAATTTCATCTGGGTTTTTGGAGATTTTGGGTACATCGCAAAATTGAAAAATCAGGTTTAGTTCATGAAAAAAATTGTTAATTTCAAAGTTTGAAATTAAATTTATGATTCAATCTATAATATAATAATCTTTATATGAGTATATTAGATATGGTGAAGAGATGCAAAAGAAGAAGAAGATGAAGTACTAGAGATGAAGAGATTAAATTAATCTGAGATCAGTAAGAATGGAAAAAATGATGATATAAATTAGATCTAAGAAAAAAAGAAGAAAAAACGTAAATGAAGAATAAAGAGAAGAAGTAAGAAAAAGAAGAAAGAGAAAGTCCAAAAATATTTGTGGAATAATAGGGGTATTTTTGGCATAAACGAGCAATGAACAGTTGAAAAAGTCTCATTCCCACAGAAAGTTACTTAACTTGTAATTTTAACTCACAAAGTGGGTCAGCTTGTTACAAAGTGGGTCAGCTTGTTACAAACTCTGATCCTAAACCAGAGGCTCTATCTGTCTCCTTCCAAGATCCATCAATGTAACATCGCCAGCCTGAATACTGTGTAAGCATTTGATCCACATTACCGTGATTGGGTTCTATCTGATCCTCCCCCGTTGTGCCTCTTCCCAAATAAGTGTTTTTGTTTTGCTATTTTCAAAGTTATTTGTACGTCTCTGTCAATATTTGAGTATATCTTCTCATTTCTCGCTTTCCAAATATACCATATTAAAATCCAGGAAAATAATTGTGTTTGATATTCCTGTGGAATACTCCAAAATAGATAATCAAAGTTTGCGTAAATTGATGATATGGAAAAAACATCTGGAGATGTGGGTATCTTTGAAAGAGCACACATTTACCGCACCGGTGAACATTCAAAAAGGACACTAAACTAAAAGATTCATAGCCTAAATATTTGAACAGTGAACTAGGGTTACAAATTATGTATCTATGATATTGTAAAACAATATGTTATCAGCAAACTATATTATAAGATTAAATACGGCATATCCAGGTATCAACTTTTGAATGGAATTCCGAAATTGGCCCGGTCCATATGATTCACATACTTTATCCATTATAACTTTTTTGAGAGCAGATTTGACTATAAATGTTTTTTTTTTGGGTCAAAAAGTATAAATATTTTACCAAGACTCAATAGCTCAGCTGGTAAAGATCTCATGTAAAACTTAAAGGTCATTAATTCGAGTGGCTCTTGAGACGGAACCATATAACATGCTTTGGTATCATGCCTGAGGGGATGTACGAGCTTAAACCCAAAACTTCTTAGTTATTTAAAAAAAATGTATAAACGATTTGAAAAAGCAAAAGCAGAGAACTATCCAAAAATGCCACAACAAATTTAATGTAACAAAAAAAATTAAAAAAAGCAAAAAGTTCTAGACAAAAACTCATATATCTTTCAGGCCCAAAAAATATATATTTGTGCTATCTGTTCTTATGATGACTCCACAAATTTTTATGGAATGTGTTACTTCTCTCTCACAAAAAGTTTCCTCTTTCTTGCTTTTTCATCTTATTTTCTCTACTCTAAATTTTTTTATTAGTCATAGCTGATTTTTTTTACTTCATAATTTTTAGAAGCGTTTAGATTAATGTTTATAAATTGTAAATTCCAAAATTTGAATTCTTAAATTATTTACTAGTAATAGTTATTAAAAATATGTGTAGTGAAAGGAAATTAAATTCTTTTACGAGGTCCAGTATATTTTTGTTTTTGAATCGAATGTAAAATACGATGTCCAATATTTCTCTTACGTTTGTAGTTTTGCCACTATCTCTTAAATTCTTTTCAATCCACAGTTTTAACAGCTGTTTCGCTGATTTTAAGTCCATGTAACCTAATGATAATTTAATCGCCACTCGGGAGAATTTTTTGACACATTTCCACATCATCCTTTCATCTGTATGAAGATTTTTTATTTAAAAAAAAATCATAGAAACAATGTCAGATGAATCATCCAAGATGATGATCTAGTACATTCTAAGCATTTCTGAACTCAAAAACAGAAGCACTTATATTGTATATTGTTTCAGTTCTAAATCGGTATATTGCTTTATATGTCTTTTCTTTGTGTTAGGAGGACCCAACATTGCTTTTGGAATTGGCTAAATTTGTGGAAAATGTGTTTCTTTTTAAACTTAGCCAACAATCTAAGACCATCCACAACCCTGAACCCCATCAGCATTTTTTAATAATTTTTGGAGAAAAGTAAATGTGGAAGAACTTTGGGTGAACCTTTGATGAGAAATGGGTGTGCAACCCTGATACCCATTTTGAGGTTTAACAGAATAAATTAATAATTTTTTTTAATTTTTTTTTAACTATTTTAAACATTTGAGTTATTTAAAATGAAAATATTTATTTAATACATATAATTTAAAACTAAACAAAGAAATTGAAAAAACAAAAGTAAAACTAAAACTAGTAATTTTCTAGATGTCCAAATTTATGCCAAATTTATGACGACGTACCTTACTGATCGACCGGAGGGGAAGCCACGATTCACCGTCGATTCGATCGAATGGGAAGATTTGTGTCGAAGTCGCGATTATCGCAAATCGCCTTGCAAGGTTTTTTTTTAATAACAAAAGAATGCGAAATAAACCCCAAAAGTTCGACCCCGACCCTAAAAAATTATTCACAAACTTCACCCAATGACAACTTGCCACGTAGGCCATTGAACCTCGACGATACGGGCTTGTCGTGCTCATCCCAGAGAGACGGTATCAGCGAGTTTTTGGACTTAAACGATTAAAAAAATCTAAATAATGGACTTGGGCTCCACGGATGAACCCCGTCCATACCGCGTTGTGGATGCTTTAAGAGCATCTGCAATGCTATGCTTAGCCCGCTTTATTGGGTTGTTTAGACCCAAAAATAATTCTAAATAAAATTAAAAGCTAAGTATCAATTTTTATTTAAGGCCTAGAAGAATCAGTGTTTAATTAGTGTGTACGTGTTCTTTATTTATTGGATAGAGAGAAAGAGAAGAAATATCCAAATTTTTTTTTTTAAAACACTCTATTAGGGATTCTTGCATTGGAGGCAACAAAATCCTACCTTTTTAATAGAGATGTTTAACATAAATTTAACATTATTTTATTACTAAGCATTCCTAAATCGATGTTAGCATTGCTGAGGCTCTAAAGAACAGAAAATTGCTGTTTAAAGTTAATATAGCATCTGATGATGCAGAAATTTTGTATACACTAACTTATTTGTAAAATTTTGTCTTTTCTGTCTTTGTACTAATCACGCAAGAAATCGTGAAAGCCTCATGTAATAGTAAATTATGTCAAAGATTTTTTTATTATCATCAAACGATTGTAAAAAAAAAAATCAACTATGTATACTGCACAGTTGAAACATTTCTTAGTAAAAAAATCAATTTATTGACCAAGATAATAGATTAACAGTGAAATTAAATTCTGTTATCAATACTATTTCATAACTCGTCAGATATGATATACTTTTTAAATAGAGCTATGAACTAGGACTACAAATTCTGTATTAATATTCTAAAACGAAATATATATTTCAAATACTGGCTCTTTGTACTCTTTGTTGTCAGCAAACGATATGATAATAAGATTCTGAGACTAATTAAATATGGCATATTCAGCTACCAAATTTTGAGTGGATTTCCAAAATTGGCCCCACCGCAGATGTGATTCCCACACTTTAACCATTATAATTTTTCATATTTGACTAAACATTTTAAGAAGGCAGAAAAACTATCTACAATAACACAACATGTTTTAGAAAGGTATTTGTTCTTATGTGGGAATTTGGTTACGAGCAATGCCAAGTCCTATTTCATAACTTGTTTGATAAAGTATTTACTACCATTTAATGGAACCTTTCGATTTAATTGTCAATATCTAGAGTTACAAAAAAACCTAATGAGTTCCTAAACGCAAATCAAAGACTACTACTTTTCAAAAATTCGTAATCACAAAAATGTCTAAATCCCATTTCTTAGATCTAAATCCTGCATTACTGAGATTTTTTCCATGTTTGTACTTTGTTTGCACTAAATTTGATAGACGATTTATCAGATAAGCTGCAGTAATGACACTTTCTCCCTAAAACCGAGTAGGTAAACCAGCCTAAAAAGAAGTGAATGTGCTATGTTGAGAATATGATGGTACTTACATTCTACACAACTGTTATGCTGAGGTGTGTATATACAGGACGTTTGATAGAAGAATACAAAACAAAATACATCAATCAGATGAAATTTTATTAAGAAATCAAAAAATTGCGAGAAGAATCGAATAACTTCAAGAATGTGTGAGAAGAATCGAATACATTAAATGAAAAAAACATTTTTCATTAACTAAACCATTGATCTAATCCGTATACTTTGCTGGATATAACCGATGTTTACATCTAATAATAGAATAATCCCAAGAAATTGCAAGAAATATCGAATAAACCCAAGAAATTGCATGCACATTTTTCTGTATGTATATGCTATTTATCTTTTCGGCCTTTTCTTTTGATAGATTGTTAATAAAACAGTTTCTGAATTTGTAGGAGATATATAGATTTGTCACAAATTATTTTTCCCCATCCTTTTTTGGTGTGAACAGTTTTTGACGGAATATTGATTTCTGGTGTTGATAAAAAAAAAAGAAACAAAAAAGTGAGTTGTGATGTTTCTATTTTCTGTTTTTATGTTTTCCAATTTTTTATGAGAATTCAATTCTGCTTTATTTGAATACTGATTATTAGAACAAACATTCGTTGTTGTTGCGATGTCTACCTAGTCAAATGCTATTACATAACTTCTTAAATAAATTATATAAAATACTAAAATGTTGTTTATTTAATTAAATATTATGTTTCTTTTGTCATTTGTCATCTTCTATTAAATAATATAGATGTTAAGCAAACGATCTAGTGAAGATACTGAGACGGACTATGACATTGTGGGATATTCAGCTAACAACTTTAGAACCAATAGAAAAATATCAGAGGATATTCCGAAGTTGGCCCCACTGTAACCTTACTGACTGCAGATTTGACTATATAACGTTTAAGAAAACTCCAAAATGCCACAAAAACATATTTTTATAAGCAAATATTTTTGTCGTAAGATTTAAGAAATAGAACCCTAAACCCAAAACCAAAAAAATGTCAATTTAAAAAATAGAACTTTACCCAAAACCAAAAAAATGTCAATTTAAGAAATAGAACATAGGAAAAGTGTTCCCCCAGCCCAGGTAATATTCTTATATAACGTTTAAGAAAGCAAAAGAAACTCCAAAATACCACAAAAACATATTTTTATAAGCAAATATTTTTGTCGTATTTGTTTTTGGAAACAGACTTAAAAGTGGTTAAGAAAATATCCAAAAAAAATGCGAAGTCTATTTGCATAGAGAGGAGAAAATAACCAGAATCTGCTTAGTTCGACAAAAAAAAAAACAGAATCTGCAAAGCAGTGACAAACACAGCTTAAGACTAAAAACCTTACGAATTACGTAGGAAACATTAAGAAGAGTGCCTATGCTATCCCTTTCCTCTTCCGTATAAAGACACTGTCTAAGTCCAAGGCTCCGGTATGAAACCAAAATGACGCCGTATTGTAAAAGCCTATACGCGTGCTAGTATATACACACTTCCGTAATTGTAGAGTTTGAAGACGGGAAAAAACGATTAGATGAATGATTGACGGCTACGTAGGTGCGTTTTAGTTCCACATCACGCGGCGTTTCTTTTTCTCGGGTGTTTCGTGCACTTGAGCTTTGATTCCATACGTTCTCATCTGGAAGTTTTCGAACGCCTCAGAAACTGCTTCTACCTGTTAAACCAGGGAAACAAACAAACAAAAACCATTACCTTTTGTGTTTAAATCATAAAAAGGAATGAGATAATATAACTAAGAGAGTTAATAAATATTGATCACATACCAATTCTGGTTTTTTGGCATATACTCTCACTATCATATCTTGATATGTTGTTGGTAACAAGTGACTAACTCGTTCGTCAGGTATCACAAACTTCTCTTCACTCTCATAATCCTGAAAAACAAGCCGTATTTAGATTCTGTGTTAGTTTCAGTTTTTCCGTTGGAAGCAAATTTGTAACAAGAACAGAGATCAGTGTATGTACCTTGAAGAAATGGATGCTGATGGTGAAAAAATCCCGCAAAAAATATGAAGTTGGTTAGATTTTTACTTAACCGAAAATTGAGATAAACAAAGAGGCATACATAGTGTTTCTGTACTTACCATTCAAGCGGATTTTCTTTTCCACGAGCTAAATCAATCTTGACGTTGGTAACAGCGATATCTTCTTCTTTCAATGTTAAGCTAGTATGCTTCTGTTAAATGAATAGTGATCAGTATAGCCAATGTGCTGGAGTATAGTTTTCCTCTTATTTAGCCAAGTGTTAAAAGATTACAAACCTGAGAACAGATGATATCCTGGGCAGTGACAGCTTTGAAATGATCGATTTTGTCCTTTGGAACCGCATACTCGTTACAGAACTGCCATTAGACAAAAAAGCCAACTTTTCAGGAGGAAAGTGTTAAAACTAAACAAGTGTAAACTAAGGAGGAGGAAACCGGTAAAAATCGTATTATTACTTGGTACAGTTGCCTTCTGCGAATACGGAGTAGTAAGTCTTTAGCTTCTGCAAGTTCTTTATCAGGAGATAGTTCAATGGTTTTGAGGATTGTATCGTCCAACTGCAATTGCGGAGAACAAAACTTATATAGAGACGCAAAAGAATTTATTGCACAAAGAGAAAGATTTGAATATTGAGGAAGGAGTGTACAAGCAAGTATTGAGATGGGTCATTAATGAGAGACGAAAACCCCAAGTGATCATCGGCTTTGACCATAGCATCTACTATCATAAGCTCTATTGCCTGCAAATGAATGGAAAGAAACAAGTGGGAAAGAGAGAAAGAATAGAGATGGAACAGAGAGAACGATAATGGTGCAATAATACCTTTACTTTCGAATGCGTGTAGACAGTTCGATAGAGATCAGCTCGAGTTGCAAATAACTTGTGGACATTACGATCTGCAAGATTCACCCGGATTTACAAGGAAGCAAATGAAAATAGAGAATATATCAGGTGAAAAAAAACTTACACTCCTTAGCGCGAAAGCATATTTCATTGTCCATGACTCTCATCGTCTCTGTCAGTCTAGAAAACTAAAAATTAGCAATTTTCTTACTAGCAAAGACTGAAATGACTGTAGAGTAGTATGAAGACCTCTGGAACTGAAAATTGCATCCTAATCCACAAGCTCGAGAATCGCGAACAAGGTAGTCAAACCTGGAAAATATTGTAGACAATTAAATTTGACTTCCCAAGACAAAGGTGCAAATCTAAGCACCATGATGTGTGAAAGGGGAAAGAAAGAAACAGCAGACAAGTATACAACTAAAGGATAGATAGAATTACTTGTCCACATCAATCCCATTTCGACCATTAGCAACAATATCATACAAGAAACGTTTCTCTGTGTTGCTCTGCAAATTATGAAAGAAGGTAAAAAATATTTAAAAAACATAAGTAGTTGTTCATGTTCGACAAGAAAAGAGAACACGCCTGTTAAAGAACTTACGTTTAGCTGTGAAAATTCAGTACTAGCTAGGATCATATCCTGTCAAGTAAACATTTAAGTCAATCATCAGCAAAGAGGGCTAGGAAGCAAGAAATATTAGATTGGATTGGTAAAGACTGAAACCAGTATAGCAGTTTCTAAAGTTTTTAGACTAGGGGCCATTTGACAGAAGCAAAAGAGTCTTAAGAAAGGAAACTACCTTCACTTTTTTCAGCATTTGAGCATCAATATCAATGTGATGCGTATCCACCATATGGTCAATCATTTTTACAGACATTAACTCATGAGACCTGCATATAAAAATTGCCATATAAAGAGCTGCAGAGAATAATAATCATATCAAGTATAAAAATTAAGGAAAAATTCTAATATCATATCAAGTAACACCATGGCATTGATCTTTTCAAGGGATGTGCAACATACCACTGACAGCCACTTATGACCTTTGGGAGAAACTCACGCTCAAACATATGACTGAAAGGCCCATGGCCAATATCATGGAGAAGTCCTACAAATAGATATCAGAAATCAGAAATGGGATCAAGGAATAATGTAATCATTGAGCTAACAATAGTTACCAGCAAGTCTCACAGTCTGAAGATCATATCTATCAATATCAAGCTCCGTTCCCTATAAAAAGTAAAGAACGTACATTACAACCTTACACTGTACTCAGCAAAAAGTGTCTGTATATTTGAACAACATTTCCACTACCTGGAAGTTTTTTAGCCTCTTAACAGTTTCGCCTGCAAGCCAATACACGCCTAGAGAGTGCTCAAATCTAGAATGAACAGCTCCTGGATAAACCATGTTCGTAACTCCTGAAACATGTAAAAACATTTCCTCAAAAGAAAGACGATACACCACTCAAGAATCATTACAGTTAGAACTAGTGACATAAGCAATAAACATCCTAAATACTGGATTAAAAAGGTTCTGAAGAAGACTTTCTATATTCGACCCTAGAATTGAATCTCAAAATATAAAAGCTTCTTTATCGAGGGGATAAATAGACAAAACAAGACCGGCTTGCTCATCAAACAAGAGGAGAGGAATCTTGAGTTGAAAACGCAAGCCAACTCACCAAGTTGCTTTAGCTCACGAAGCCTGCCATAAGGAATTAGATTAAGGAATCAGAAAGCTGTGGTTTCAACAAGTCATCGAAATTAGATCATAGAAACGAGAACAATCCAACGACTTACCTCTGAAACTGCTCTGTGTCAATGAATTTTAAACAAAGCTGCAAATCAAACAGGACTATTAGAACAGTTGAACATATCGAGTCAACGGAAATACAACATCTGTACTGAGATTTCAAAGACTTAGTCTAGAGGTTCAGAGAATTTGAAATCAAAGCTATTTGGATAGAAGAAAAAAAAAACTCGAACAGGAGCCAGAAATACAGAACAGAAGAATCGCGTCACAGAATATCCGATAAGATTTTTGCGGTTCGTTCAACAAATATCTCCTCGAATTAAAACTCAACCATACATTCCTTAAACTCAAGTTAAATCTTCCCATAAACATGAACCTAAATCCAACGAGCTCCAAATCACGTCGAGAAATCAAAGATGAAGGAAATCTTATCTAGATTCCAACTCGAAAAAAAGTCACCGGAAAATTCTACAGAAAACCTCCATAGAAACAGTTATACAGAGCGAGACCGAAACCGATAGAATTCCGGCGTCCTTATCTCGGAAACAACCATTTCGAAACGAAGAGAGTTGAAGGAAATTTACAGGATCGAGATAGATGTTTCCATGGACGTTGTCGTAGACATGCTTGGTGAGCCGGAGCTCGTCCGTCGGAGCGCAGGCGGAGTAAACCGGCAAAGTTAGGTCTTCGTTGCAATACGCTCCCATCAGTTTGAATTTCCCGTTCGCTCGCTATATCTCCGGGGAAGCAGTACGTCGAGAGAAACTGGGAATGGTAACCGCAAATTGAGAAAGCGATTTGAATTTAAGCTGCAGGTGCTGAGACTTGAGAAAGACTAGAGAGAGAGTATCTTTAAGGCCTTTTTGCCGTCTGTACGCGATTAATATTCCTTTATTCCTTTTAATTAATACAAGAAAAAGCTGCAAATAGAGCCCTATACGTTTCTTTTATTCCAAGAAGAACCAACAAACTTTTAGAAATTATAAAAAGACCCCCAGGCAAATTAACCGGGACACTAAACTGGATCATCATGGTTTGGTCGTGGCATAAGGGCATACATTTTGATTGATTCTTATTTTATTTGGTCGTCTATAGAACTATAACTCATAATTATTGGATTTAAATCCAGATTAACCATTGATTTATCTATTTTACTTTTGTTATTAACAAAATAACTTTCGCTTAGTTTTTTATTTGAGAGTAATCATAATAAGAGCAAATCTTGTAAACCAAGTTTACCTGAAAAGCTGTCTCTCGTACCGTATGACACAAATCAGCACTTGTGGTTAGTTGTGCACACTATTTTGGTAAAAATGATATTTCTCGTATTAAATGGAAATATAGGGCTCTATTCTGTAAATTTCCTTTTCTACAATTATCAAATTAATAAATATAATAAATTTCTGTTAGAGGTGGTTTTGGTGGTGGACTGGTGGTGGAGAAGTGGGTTCATGGTGACGGTTATGAATACCCGGAGGGTGATAATTGTATCCAACATTAGTAATATAAATTTCGGTTTATCGAAAATAAAAATTAGACCGAACCAGAGTAAAACCGGAACCACATTGGCATTTTAAATAAACAGGCCCAATTTAGCTTTAGCGTTTCGCGTTATAGGATTCGGGAGTTGACCGGAGTGGACTCAATCGGCGAAGCTTTCTCAGGGACGGAGAGGAGGAGAGAAAAAGATCGAGACAGCGATTCAACGCGGCGGAGTGATGGAAGAGCTTCCAAGCATAACCGTGAGTCAGCGCGAGCAGTTTCTGGTGGAGAACGATGTGTTCGGGCTCTACAGTTACTTTGACGCTTGCGACATTGCTACTCAGAAATTCCTGTAAAAATCGATCGTTGTTTTGTGCCGTATCTTTCTTCATAATCTGATGAATCCTAGTAGATTTCGAGAGATGAATCCTACTGATGGAAGTTGTTGTTCTAGGTTGGAGATTGAGCGAGACAAGCAGTTGGATTATCTAATGAAAGGCTTAAGACAGCTAGGACCGTCGTTTTCGTCATTAGATGCTAAGTATGTATCTTCTCCTTCTTAGAATTGATGCTTTGCTCTTTTGTTTTCATGGCTAGAATTTGAAGCTCAAATTTTGCTTTTTTGTTCTTCGAATTATCTCTCATTTAGATGGTCCCTTTGAACTTTGCACATATTTTGTTAGGTATTAACATGTTCAAGAGTTTGTATGGGTTTTCGGATGTCAATAAGTTAAGTTGAATTTTGGCTTTTGGCTTTTGGACAGTCGACCTTGGCTTTGCTACTGGATTCTTCATTCAATTGCTTTGCTTGGGGACACTGTGGATGATGAATTAGAAAACAATACCATCGACTTTCTTGGACGCTGCCAGGTTCGACATTTTCAAGTTCCTTTGATTTGTTAAACTATCTAAGCCATTTGTGGAAACTCTTCTGATTTGCTCATCCTTTCTTTTTGTTCTTCTCCTCCTTTTTTGTTTGTGTTTTGTTTTCCATTCCTATTATTATGACCTGAAATTAATCACTTGGTACTTAGTTTGCTTTCACGTGTTGCTTGTTCAGGGTTCTGATGGTGGATACGGTGGTGGTCCTGGCCAAGTAAGTATATGTATATTTCTTGAAGTGAGGCTCACTATTATTTCATGAAATTGGAAACTTAAGAAAGACCAGTTAGTTTTATTCTGATTGATCTCTTTGGTGTTGTCAGTAGTGTAAGATTGCCAGTATTTTCCCATAGTTTAATTGTAAATCTTCCAAACATGGCAGAGATAGTTAGGATTTACAATTTTTTTTAGCCATTCAATTTCTTTTTGTTCTCTCGCCCACTAATAATGGATATCTTTTCTTCACAGCTTCCACATCTTGCAACAAGTTATGCTGCAGTGAATACACTTGTTACTTTAGGTGGTGAAAAAGCCCTTTCTTCTATTAATAGGTGGTGCATTCGTTTTTCTTTATTGTCATTTTATTTTCAATAAGAGACAGCTGATGCGTTCTATAGAAGACTTACATGACTCGTAATTTTTCAGAGAAAAAATGTCTTGTTTCTTAAGACGAATGAAGGATACAAATGGAGGTTTCAGGTTTGATTCTCTCTCTGCTTGAACTTCGTAAAGACATCATTTTTTCTGACAGCTTAGTGTCATATAACCAGTCATTTTGGTTTTTCAATTCTTGCTCGTCTATATTTCAAGCAACTTGTTGATAATTTGAATACTCTCACTGATTATTAGGATGCATGATATGGGAGAAATGGATGTTCGTGCGTGCTACACTGCAATTTCAGTGAGTTCAACAAACTCTCAGTTTCTTGTTCTCTTTTACAGACACCAAAACTTATAGGCTGAAATGAGATCAACAAACTTAGGTTAGGACCCATTTTGCTAAGTAAATTCCAGTTTCATATCTTGAAGTCACATTAGGATATGGTTTATGATCTACTTTATTTGCTAACTTACGCCCACCAGATACTTTGCAGAGAAATCGATTCGTATTGCATCATATGGTTAGTTTTTTCGCTGATATGCTGATTTCTCTTCTGACATAGATTGCAAGCATTCTAAACATTAAGGATGATGAACTCACCCGAGGCCTAGGAGATTACATCTTGAGGTAACATTCCGTTTTACTTTGATCTCACATAATTAAAGCTGAACTACTATAATATAGTTGTAAGTTCATGAATTCATTGATTTCCCTTGCAAAGCTCTTTAAACTTATTATATTTTGAGCAGTTGCCAAACTTACGAAGGTGGTATTGGAGGGGAACCTGGCTCCGAAGCTCACGGTGGGTATGGTCTCCTACTTACTTCCATTATGTTGAAGCTTTTATTCGGAACTGAGTTTTGCCTCTCTCTTCTGCGATGTAGTTATTCATGGTTAACTATAATTTATTTCCTGAAATGTTTAACTGTTACCTTTGCTTAGTATCATATAAATTTTTTTGTAGGTACACCTACTGTGGGTTGGCTACCATGATTGTAATCAATGAAGTCGACCGTTTGAATTTGGATTCATTAATGGTAACATACAATGCTGTTTTGAGATGATTAATAGATTAATGGAATACCTTTACTTTTCCTTAGAAGAGATATTTTTTCTTACCATTTAATCTTCTGATGATATTAGAATTGGGTTGTACATCGACAAGGAGTAGAAATGGGATTTCAAGGTAGGACGAACAAATTGGTCGATGGTTGCTACACTTTTTGGCAGGTCAATCTTCTAATTCTCTTTGTATCCTTTCGCAACCTCGTTCAATTTTTTTCCACCTACTCCAAAATTCTCTTATACTCATCACCGTCGTTATCTTTTTGTTTTTGTACATGTTAAACAGGCAGCCCCTTGTGTTCTACTACAAAGATATTATCTAGCCCATGATCTGGTACTTCATGGATCATCACATATATCACAAGGGACTGATGAAGATCACGAGGAACATGCTCATGATGAAGATGATCCTGAAGACAGTGATGATGATGATGACGACTCTGATGAGGACAACGAAGATTTTGAAGGTAATGTGCTTAATATTCTCATACCATTAGTCCATCTAATTATCCAAAAACACAACTGATTTTAATTAGCTTATGTTTGCAGATTCAGGACATGGTCACCGAGTCCATCATACATCCACCTACATTAACAGGAGAGTGCAACCTATTTTTGACAGCCTCGGCTTGCAAAGATATGTACTCTTGTGCTCTAAGGTCAGTTCTTGCTTGCTTTTAACACCATAACAAAACATCCAGTCAAGTTTACTCATGCACACACACTCATGCATGCTCATTTTCATGGACATGAACGGTTTGTTTTGAAATTTTGCGTTCTTAGATGCCAGACGGTGGATTCAGAGACAAGCCGAGGAAACCTCGTGACTTCTACCACACATGTTACTGCCTAAGCGGTCTGTCCGTGGCTCAGCACGCTTGGTCAAAAGACGAGGACACTCCTCCTCTGGCTCGCGACATTTTGGGAAGCTACGCGAATCTCCTTGAACCTGTTCACCTCCTACATAATGTGGTCATGGATCAGTACAATGAAGCTATCGAGTTCTTCCATAGAGCAGCGTGACCCCGTTCTCGCCACATATAGGAAACTTCTAAGCCGGATGGTACGAGAGACTTTTTCGTTGTGTTGTAGCGTAACTTTTCAACCTAAAATTGGTTTATAATTTAACCTCCTCAGAAATTGAGTCATATGATATCTTTGGTGAGATTACTGTTGAAAGACTTGCATCCTTCGCCATTGTTTTTTAAAACTGAGAATTCCCTCGATAACTCTCCAAGGAATTAGTAAATTTTATGTGGGATAATTGAAAAGTCTAAATGAAATTGAAAATAAAAGAAACTTAAAGAAGCACACCAATTTATTTTACTTTTATACCTAGTACTAGTATCTTTCGGGAGTTTTATGTGAAAAAGATAGTTTAGGATTAAAGTGCAAGAAAGTTAATGGTACTTTTATGTGAAAAAAACAGTTCAGGATAAAATTGTAAGAAAGTTAAAGGTCATTTAATATTAAAACAATAGTTAAGGACAAAACTGCAAGAAAAGATCAAATCTAAGTCCTTTTTCGCAAACTTTTATTTTTAAATCTTTGTCTCTCTCGTCTTCTTCCCCATTTGAGTCATTGACCAGAGACAGTGAGAGAGTTTACTTAAAAAAAACCCAAAAAATATCAACGAAAATGGAAGACGACGAAGAAGAAGAAAAGACGCAGAAGTTGCACAAGGAGGAGAAGAAGAAGAAGAAGCAACAAGAGGAAGACAACAACGGAAATCAACGAAAACGAGACCAGTTTTCTCCACCTGCGAAATCTCCACCCCAAAATCGCAACCCAGAGATGTCTTCTAGATCATCGCTTCATTCATTGCCACCAACGACGGTCGATTCACCACCTCCTGATTCACCCACCGTCTCTTCGATCCCCGATAGCCACGGATCTTCACCTCACACGATCATCCCGACTCCTTCCGTTGCTTCGGTCGCGACGAAGAACGAGACTCCTTTCAGGATTACTAACGAAGAGCAGAAACTCGGCGAGAGTAGAAGGCAATTGAGGCCAAGCTTTTCTACTCCGCGTGAATCGAAATGGGCAAGTTTTGTTAGAAAGGCTTTGCTTGGATTTAGGGTTTCTGCGTTTGTGTCATGCCTCGTTTCGTTCTCTGTTATGGTTGCTGATAGAGATAAAGGATGGGCTCGTGATTCTTTCTACAATTACAAAGAGTTCAGGTTCAAATCTCTTACTTTTCTAGCTTCACCACTTTACCATTTGAAGTTGAAGTATCTGAAGATGTTTAGACGAAGAATCAGCTTTAGGGTTCCTAGATGACTCTGATTTGGTCTAATCACTGTTTTGGGATTTGAACTTTTCTCTTGAAATTAGCCGTGGAAGTCGTGACTCTTTCTGCAAATACACATGTTAGTTTGGGTTAATTTCTTACTTTTCTAGCTTCACAATACCATTTGAAGTTGAAGTAACTGAAGATGTTTAGAAGAAGAATCAGCTTTAGGGTTCCTAGATGACTGTGATTTGGTCTAATCACTGTTTGGGTTTTGAACTTTTATCTTGAAATTAGCCGTGGAAGTCGTGACTCTTTCTGCAAATACACATAGTTTGGGTTAAATTTCTTACTTTCTAGCTTCACAATACATACTGAATTTGAAGTATCTGAAGATGTTTGGAATCAGCTTTAAGGATTCAGGATGTCAGGGTTCTTAACTTGCTGGATTCACCAGGAATCCAAACATTCTTATGTTAGTATCTCTTTAGGTTTGGAATTTCATCTGAGCTCTAAGTTCTTAGGTAAATGACTCTAACCTGTGCTAAAGATTGTGTGGAGTTTGGAAATTTTCACTCGAAATCAGCTGTGTCGTTTACTTTTAGGTAATGAAGTAAATCCAATGACCTGTTTCTAGCTAATGACCTTGTCTTTAGATTACTGTCTAAACTGCAAATATTTCTTGTAAATGTTTTCTTGAGTTGATTTATTCTGTTTTTCTTTTGGCATTTTTGGTTGCAGGTTTTGTTTGGCTGCGAATCTGATTGGTTTTGTCTATTCAGCTTTTATGATATGTGATCTCTTGTATCTGTTATCTACTAGCATTCGCAGATCAAGACATAACCTCCGTCATTTCTTGGAATTTGCTCTTGATCAAGTATGTTTCTTCTGCCTCTCTTTGATCGAATCGAAACTCTGTTTTGTTACAAATGGTATTAACCTAAAAAAAACTGGAATATATTAAAAAAAAAAAAGCACTATCATTTGAGTAATTGTTTCTGATTCTTGTACCATTAAACTGTATTCTGCCAAATTCTTAGTAGTTAAAAATGGTCATGATGTTGCAGATGATAGCGTATCTTCTTGCATCGGCTTCAACATCGGCTTCGATCCGTGTAGACGATTGGTTATCAAACTGGGGAGCAGACAAGTTCCCAGACTTAGCTAGAGCATCGGTCTCGTTGTCTTTCGTCTCCTTTGTCTCATTCGCCTTTTGCTCCTTAGCTTCCGGTTATGCGCTTTGTTCACTCCGGTCTATCTAAACCAAAACAAGCACAAGCTCGAGACTCATGACCATCTCATTTTGTTTAAATATAGTTCACTCTCGAAGTTAATTCTTTCTACGTCTTGGTTTTCTGAAGGAACTCGACCCTGAATCTCGGTAAACGATGAAGAGGGTCCAGTTTTCGTAGTATTTTAAATTGTTAAAAACTTTTAATTTAATATAGTGGAGGGTTTTTTGTTTGTTTGTTTACTTTTCATGTTGCAGAATATTCCTTCTCGAAAAAGATGGTGTACTGATCTAAAAAATTCCGACATGATGACATCTTCTCCTTAAACTTTAGATTTTAAGATTGATTTAGATGTTAACATTTTAGAATGTCTATGTAGTTTGTAAGATCATATAGTTTCAGGCCAGTAAAAATCAATTAACCATGCAGAGCCTACATAGTAATTTAGATACACAGACGTATGTATACAGAGGAGTGAATATGAAATTATCCCCCTTTTAGAGATAATTAGAAATTTAGGACAATTTCCCTTACCTATTGTCTCATTACGATTTTTCAACTTAAGAATTGTCCAATTAAGATTTGTCTTAAGTGAAACCCAAAAAAATTACCCTTAAATATTGAATTCTAGTATTTTTTATTAGTATTTTATATATTTAATAAAATTTATAAACAATAAGAAATTCATTTGGAGCTTAGTTGATGTGGAAAAGTTCTATTCACACCTCTGTCTCTCCTCTTCTTATCTCAAACAAATCACATAAACCATTACAAAATACAAAAACAGTATCATCACGGAATCTAAAGAAAAGTTTTCCTTTTTTTCCTTCACAAAATCTCAGAACATGACAATGATGATGATATCTCAATTCTCAAGTATCGTCTCAGAGATTCTTCCATCTATTCTATTACATGGAGAAGAAGATAGAAGAGGATCATCTTCATCAACAACAACAACACCAGAACATCAAATGAAAGAGTATTTTTCACGTTTTTTTGTTATGGAGTAACGTTAAGATAAAGGCTCTCTTCAGTAAAAGCTGAGTTGATTGACGAAGTTAAATGAGGTCAAACTCTGCTTCCTTGCAGAAGATGGTGAAAACAGTTTCCAAAACACGTTGCAAAAAGCAAAGAGAAGATTCATAACTGTCTCTGTTTTGCACTGTTCTTATGACTGCAGTTTTCTTTCTGTTCGCAATTCTCAGAAAAAACATTTTGCTCTATACCCTGAATTACAAGAACTCCACAATTACTCAAAGAAAAACAGACAACTTGTATCACTAAAATGAATCACCAAGTCATCAGAAGTTGTGAACACAGCACCGAAAATATTTTTATAAAGAAAAAAAGAAAAGAAAAACATGATAAAAAAGGAAATAAAATATTTTTATAAATATTCAGTTTTGGTGGATAAGTCCATGATCCCAGATTTTCTCAGATTCTCTGAACAACTTAGTAGAATACATATTCCATATTATGTAAAACAAAGAAGGATTACTAGAATGCACATTCTAATAAAATATAGAACATAATAAAAAATGCAAAACATGTATTCTACAAGTTGTAGAACAAAGAAGAACTTGTAGAACATCAATTGTAGATTTCGTAGATTGTATAGAAATGTTTAGAAAATATATTCTAGAAAACTGTTGAGTATAGAATATATTTTCTGCATGTTGTGGAAAATAATTTTTAAAAATTAAAAGCTTTCCATAACTGATTTTCAATAATAAATATATTTCTTTTTTGGTATTTTGGATTTTTTTAAAAAAAAGAAAACATTAAATTCGAATTTCTAAAATTAATGTAAGTAACTAAAGGGTAATTAAGTCCTAAAAAAAGACAAAAGTTCAAAAAAATCTTATAGGGATAATTATTTGCAAAATGTGTTTTAAATTTACAATTTTTCTATTATTTTATCACATGTAACGAAGATGATAAAGCTAAGTTAGTGTGGTTCAAATTAGAGGTGAGCAAAAAAAATGAACCGAACCTAACCAACCAAACTTAAACCGAATTGAACCGATTCATTTTCAATATATAACCCGTTTGATTGAAGTTTTTTATAATCTGAACGGTTCGATTCGGTTCGGTTTTAAACTGAACCAAACCAAAAAACTAAAATACTTATTTTATTTAGTTTATTAGTTAATTCATAATATTAGTTTCTTGAAATATGGTGAAAATGTGAAATTTCACCTAAACCAAAACACAATTTCTTTTTTCAAACTGATTTTTTTTAACTGAACTAAAACCAAATCGAACTAAAACCAAACTGAATTAAATCAAACCGAAGTTAAACTAAACCAAACTTATTTCGATTGAGTTTAGTTAGTATTTTATTGAACCCAAATTAATTAAACCGAACCGAACTCAAACCGAACCCGAAAATAAACTAAAGTGCCCACCCTTAGTTAAAATATAAAACCCCTTTCAACATGTTAAATCCCATACATAATTTTATGCATTTTGAAACCACCAAAGACGTTTATTACAAAACCATAAAATATAAAATTACAAAACTATAAACTAAAAATTACAACACTCAAAAGAGTAACACACCGTGACAAATTATTACAAACACGTACATACGCTTAGAAAGAGGCCAAGAGAAAGTGTTCAACGAGCTCTTTTGATGAACCACTCTTGCTTGTGTGAAACAAATATATGTCCAATCACCAATCCGCAGAAGACACCAGGTCCATACGCTATTGCCGCAGCGATCCAGCTAATCACTTGTTCATCGTCTTCTTGCTCCAAAACATCCTCTGACTTTTGTGGTGTAGTATTCGGGACATAAGTTTGTCCACAAATTTCCTCGGGACCGTAAAGTCTAGGGTTGCCTATGAATGAAGAACAATTCTGTATCTGAAATTGTGTGCCTCTTGGTATTGGACCTTCGAGATTGTTGTGGGAGAAGTTAATGGTTGACAAAAAGGAGAGCATGCCAAGATCTTGAGGAATCCGACCTGACAGTTGATTCTGTGATAGGTCTAATGCCTCAAGATTTGTCAGATTTGCCAGTGATTGAGGTATATCGCTTGTGAAAGCATTACTTGACAAGTTGAGTAGATGCAAACCCTTCAAGAATCCAATAGATTCAGGAATCTTCCCATAAAATCTGTTTTCTGAAAAGTCAATGGCAATGAAGTCTTTTCGGATCCACAAAAACTCTGTATATACTCCTTTATGCACCATCTCCATTGAGCTATGATAGGAAGCAACATACACCGTGAAATCTTCCATGTACGAGTCATCATTTAGTGCGTTTGATGTGGTCATGTCACGCCAAGTGGAAAAATAGAAAGATGTGATGGTTCCAGTGAAGTCATTCTTTGAGATATCAATGACTTTTAGCGTTTGAAATCCAATGGAGGAGACGTGGTGGTTGTATAATGGTCCATAGAATTGATTTGATCGGAGGATGAGGACGTTCAACGACGGTAAAGAACCCAACCAAGATGGAAACTCGTCCTTGAATTTGTTGCTTCCCACATTCAGAAACTTGATAGCTACGCAACTGATCAAAGATTTTGGAAGTTTTCCCTCCAACTGGTTGCGGCTAACGTCAAGTTCAAGTAAGTTGGTACCATTGACAAACATATCCGGAAGAGTTCCACTGAAATTGTTGTTTCCTAAGTTAAGCATTTTAAAGTTATTCCTCCTTATACATGGAGGAATTGAGCCACTAAACCTATTGTTGGACAAATCTAAGAGATCTAACGACCTAAACTTGCATATCCAACGGGGAAATGGTCCTAGGAATGAGTTCGATCTAAGACTCAACACATTCATTTTTGTTCTATCAAGAACTTCTGAGGATTTTCCGAAACTGCTAAAAGAGTTGTGAGCAAGTTTCAACACCTCTAATCTCCATAAGAAACCTGGTACTTTGCCTTCCAACTTATTGTGGGAAAGATCAAAGTAAGTGAGGTTAGCTAACTGTGATATTGATCTAGGGATTGATCCAATGAAATCGTTGAAACTAAGATCTAAGATGTTGAGATCAAGAAACTTAGATATAGATTCAGGGATTGGACCATCACATTTGTTACCAGCAAGAGAGAGAGCACGAAGCCTAGAGGATGAAGATGTATTACTAAACTCTATAGGTCCCTTGAGCTGGTTTCCCTTCATGTAAACATATTGTAACGAAGGAATAGTGAACAGAAATGTAGGAAAAGGCCCAGAAAATGAGTTTCCACTCAGAAACAAATACTCCAAGTTGTGGAGTCCACCTAGGTCAGGTGGGAGCTCAGATTCGAAGTCATTATTAGTGAGGTGAAGTGTGGCCAATTTCGTTAGATTGGCGAATGAAACAGGAATTTTCCCACTTAAGTGGTTATCAGTGAGTCTCAAAGTGTTTAGTTGGGTCAGGTTTCCAATTGAAGAAGGAATCTGCCCATAGAGATCGCAAGAGGAAAGGACTAGGTTTTGAAGAAATTGGAGTTTGAAAAGACCACTATTTGGTTTCAAAGAGTTGTTGAGAGGAATGTTATCAATGTAAAGTGAAATCACCTTGCCAGATCTTTCATCGCACGTGACACCCTCCCAAGAACAGCAATCACTGCTCTTGTTCCATGAACTCATATAGTTTACCGGAAACTCTTGTTTGAACTCCAAAAGAGAATTCCTCTGGTCATGGCGGCAAAAGTGGAGCGTAGGAGAAGCAAGGGTGTGTAGAACAAAAGAAAAGGAGAAGAGGAAATACATGGTAAGAACAATATCATTGAAGGAATAAGAATGCCTAGGAATCATCATTTCCTTTTTTTTTTTTTTTAGTTTGTTTGGCTTGTGATATGTTATAATTTTGGCTTCTGCAACTCTCTTTAAAAAGAAGAAAGAAAAAAGATCAATTTTGGAGTTTAGTTCTTGACTTTGGGAAAGTCTTGCGTCAACCTACGAGTCTTCTTAGTATCTCTACGTCTCTGTGATTCGTGATTTGTGCCAAAAATTGGCTCATTCTTTCCACATTACCCATCACATACTCTCTTGACTTGACCGACCTTGTCGAGTTCGTTATCTTTCATAATTACCACACAAAAAAAAAAACTAATTTATGTAACGGTCAATAAGATATACTGTAAATCTTACTCAGAATTTTCTTATAGTTGAAAATCACAGCTTTATGTATTCATATATGATTGATAAGAAATTACATGAGAAATACAAACGTTTACAAAAGCTATGAAAGTAGTATTTTTTATTAAAAAAATAAAAGACATTTTTCGGCTGACCGTATAAAAGACAAAGGGCTATGACTAAGTTTCTAGATTGTGGATGTTTGTTGGGTACTTCCAAACAATGTGTTAACCAATAATGGTTATTAATTACATATTGCATCATTCATACATTTATAATTACATTCATTAGAAAAAAGAAGAAGATAAATTCACTGTTTTTTTTTAATAATGAACTGTACTCGTTTTCTGAATTTTTGCTTTTGTATATGGAGAGTGTTTAGTGTATTGTTACAAATGATTTCACATCTCTTTCGATCTAACTTTTTTTTTTCAAATTTACTGATTACAAAAATAACATCATTTATAACATCAATATATAATAGAAAATTATGAAACTTCCGAACTATAATTTAACATCTTCAATAAGAACGTAATGTTGCTATTTAGAAAACATATTCGATTTTTTCACTCATAGAAGTAAAATACCAGCGGATGTATACGGTCGAATTACCTCTTAAGATCCCCCTGCCTCAGGGAAGTACTTTGTTCATTTTTTTTTTCTTTTTCTGAATGATTCTTTATTCAGTCTTTGTTCATTTTACTTCTGAGATCTCTGATGATCTCACTTATTCTCCAGAGAGTTCCAACCTCCTTTATTTCGTAGTTCTTTTGGGAATTAAGTAGGCTAAGGGCTTGAAAATTCTTGGAGATCAAAAGTAAGATTTCTTAAAAGGAAAAGTTAATTTATTATAGTACATAGCTATAGATATTTACGTTTATGTTTATACATATAGAGAAATTAAGCTGGATACTTTTGATTGATTAGTAAGCATACACATGCTAATATTGCAACAACCTATATATGCATCTCATAACCAAACAGATTCAGTAATAGTAATAATACAAGTAATTTTTGAGAAATTACTTAAGAAAACATTCTTATTCGATCTTAGATTTGTAATTTACTAGATAAAAATTTTCCATTCGTCATCTTATTATTGGATATCATCAAGCTCGATAAACTATCAAATTTTCAAGCAGCCGAGTCCAAGCACCAGCAGTAATAGTCTGACCGTGAGAGGTCGAGCAATTCTTGCGGAGACATCCTCTCAAGCTCGTTCTGCCTCCACGCCGCATAGTTGTTGCGGTTCTGTGTGTCCGAGGCTAGCGAATGAGCTTCGGTCTTGTGTTTCTGATATCGCATTCTCGTGTATAGCCTCATCGTTGCGACGCAGTCCTCATAAGGATCTTGAATTCCCACATGAATATCATACCTTTATAAGGCAAAAAAGTATTGAAATTTACAAACGTTGATATATTTTTACTCAAACTGGTGTAGATTAATTAGATTTTGATTAATAATGACAGATAATACGATTACAATCACAATGAAAACATTCTAAATCTTATATTAAATCCTCAATTTTCTGACCTCAATCACAATGAAAACATTCTAGTTTTTGATGATAAAGTATATATATTTTACTTTGGGGTAACTTGTTAGGTACGAGAAGAGCAAATTAGAAATACGAAACTTTTGGTTAAGAATAAATGATATTCCTTCTGTTTAGAATTATTTGATGTTTTAGAATGTTTTTTTTTGTTCAGAATTATTTGATATTCTCACTTTTCAATGCAAAATTTAATGAATTTTTATAGTTTTGACTTTTTATATTCTGCAGATAGTCTTCTTATTGGCAGAATGATATTTAAATGAATTATAAAAAATATTTTTAGTATAGGAAAAATAAAAATTAAATGAATCCTTAAACTGTGTGCAAAAACCTTAAACATCAGTAGAGATAGGCATATCGTACTCTGATATAATATTAATTATTCGTGTTATTCTTAGGATTATCATCGGTTGATTTTGTTCGAATTTTCAAAACTTTTTAAACTAATCAGCATATATATTGTACTTATAATCAAGTAAAACATTCATATATATATATATTGTACTTCACACGTGATTGTATTTATTTAACAACAAAAATCAAAGCATTATGTTCTAAAAACTAAACTTTTGGCCAAAAAAAAAGTTCTAAAAACTAAAATGACAAATCCTAACCCGTAGAGCCAAAACCTTTAACCCTGAAACATAATTAAACAAAATGATATCTTTCTTTCATTCAAAAAGATTCAGCATAGTTTTAAAATTTAATTTAATGTATAATAATTAACTATACACATATATATATACATATATATAGTATAGTTTTTAATAAAAAGAAAAAGATATATTCTTAGTCTGAAAGTACTTCCGGATAACCTTTAGGTACCAAAGGAGCAAATTAGAAATACGATACTTATGGTTAAGAATGAATGTTATAAATAAGGTAGAGACAGACAAATCGTACTTTGATATAAGATCAACTATTCGTGATATTCCTAGGATTATCGTCAGTTGATTTTGTTCGAACTTTTAAGATACTTTCTAAGCTAATCAGCATATTTTACTTGACATGGTGACTAAAAACTTTTAATCACGTCAAAAGTACATCGGATACCTTACTTTATAGTTGTTACGTCCGAATATCACACACAGAAAATGAAAAGAAAGCAATATAAAGTTTATAAACGTATAATATGTATACTTGCATGGTTTAGCAGACAAACTTTCTTCGAGTTGACTAGTTCTTTTTAAGATATATAATGATGGAATATTTGAAATTCGTTTTATTAGATTTTCACCAACTTCTAATATCGTATAATATTTTAAAAATTACAGATGAGCCGACATTAATTTTTTTTTAAAATGCATAATGTGTTGTGCCAATTCATGTCCCTAAATCTTTCAATTATATTTACTCAATATTAAATATAAAAGCAAAAAGGAATTTACCCGAGATAGGCCTGGGTAAGGTACTTGAGAGAGTTGCTTAATTTGCTTGTTTTCATCAAAGGAGGGTATTCCGCAGTATCTCTATTGGACACCAACAAAACATTTATAAAAATGATTAAATTAACGTAATATAAAATATTCTTCAAATCAAAGACGGTCAGTATCTTTCTTATCATATATATATTCTTTTTTTATTTACCTAATATTTATGATCATATATTATTAATTAATCGACTTTAGCTTTAAAAAATAAAGTTTTGTGTCTTATAGTAAAAGGTTTTTATTTACCTTATCATGGACGAAGAATATTCAAGTTGAAGACAGTCAAGATGGTTATCAAGTCCATGTCCCACGAGAATCCTTGCCTTGCCACTTCTTGAACGAATCTTCCACATTGGTTCTCCATTACAAAGAAACTCTTGAATCTTTCTCTGTGCCTGCTTTAATGGCATTGCGTCCCTTAGATTCTCAGGCCGTATCCCTGTTGTCTCGTACCTGTGATTGGTTACGGGCATCGTTGGCTTCACGTACGTGTGGAAAATCACGTTCTCTCTCTCATCGGTTATGCAAACTCTCGCGCATAGGTCCAGCGATCCGTCACTCCCTCCTCCAACCATCTTGCATGAGAGCGCGACCACTCGTGGTGACCTTGAAGAAGTATAGTCGATTGTAGTGTTGTCTCTAAGGCCTAAAGACGCCATACGAGTAGTTAGTCCCTGAAAAAAAAATCTTAGAGATTAGTATCAATAGAAAGAATATATTGTTTGAAACACTTAAAATTTGTATACAATATATAGTTATTTGAATTTTGACATATGGAGAGCTTTTAATTACAGAATTGACGTTTGAGAGCTTTCAGAGAAGCAACTGACTGGATCCTACGAGCGTTGAGCTTTCCGAAGATCCATAGACAAAATCTGCACCCACGCATGCTGAAAATGTTCCTGCATCTGTTTCGGCAGTGGACCTATATACATATATGATATGATCCAAAATAAAATTAAGCAAGTTTGTTTTGTTGTTTTTGATAAAAATCAAATACAAAGTTTACCAATAGATATATAAAGGTTACCAAATTAAATATACCAATGAGATGTTCACGGAGGGAGTCAAAAGATCGGCAATGTTTGTTGCAAATGCCACAAGTAGGTTCATGGACCGAATGATAAGAGATCCTCATGTGTTCCACCAAGTGTTCCTTCTTGTTGAACTGCCTATAACACGCTCCACACTTGTTCCTGCATGGATATCCATGCATGCTTTAGTTTCATGATTTTGTTTTTTAGTAACCCGAAGATTCTAAACCAAAACTTATATTAATCGTTGAGGTCTAAGAAAGTGAGTATTATACTAGTATTCTTGCCATTTCAAACGTATATAGTGGACGAGTATGATTGAAATCACAATGAAATTTGTTTCACATTTTTTTTCAATAAAAAAATTACGTACACTTCTCACTAAAAATAAAAATTTATTGGTATATCTTAACATTACGTTACGTGTATGTTCATGTTCCAAACAGTCTTACGCATACGCGGCATTATTTTTTTTTGGTGGTAATTAATATAACTTACGTAGATCAACGGTGAGAAAGGAAAACCTAGTTCAATCCGATCGAAGATGACATAATTATCTTTTACACAGAAATAAGTGCCTTAAAATAAAATAAAATTATAAAAGTACCTCAGGGTTTCGGAGGACTCCATAGACAATCTGTAGTCCATAGTAAATAACAGCTAGAACACAGTTCTGAGTTAAGGGAGTTTGATTAAACGGATTTATTCTTGTATATATATATATATATGTCGATTTGTATATGTGTGCGTGTGTACGCTTGTGTGGAGATTGGAAAATATTTGAGTGTCTGTTTATATAGGCAATTCATGAGGGATATAAGAAAGAAAAAGAAAATTAATTAAGAAAACGCAAAGTTAGATGATTCCCTGACCATCCTCACATATTAGATGCATGATTCCCTGACCAGTGACCATCCTATATAACGTATACCCACTTTTGAGGTTTGATTTTTTTTTTGTTTTTTTTTGAATGAATAAGGTTTCATTGTTGCATATAAAAAAAAAAAAAAAGAAGAAGAGGAGATGCCTTTCTATTATGGTTCCTAGTGTTTTCGATCTAAGTCTCTAAGACAGTAATTAGGTTGATATACTTGTTTATAAAAGAAAAAAAAAAAGTTGTTTTAAAGTAAAAAAAAAAAAGAAGAAACTATACCATTTCTTATGTTTCTGAAATTTAGAAAAAAATCTAACAAAAATGTTAAAAGAAACAAAAATGGAATCTATCAAAAAAGTAATAAAATGTTGTTTCAAAACCAAAAAAATATTATGATAAAATATCATAATTGTTATAGTGTTTACTATTTCTTATATTTTTTAAGCAAATATTAACATATATTATATAGCCTTATATCAATCACATACATATCGTTCTATTTTTGTAGCTGTCAACAACCCTTCAAACCTTACAATAACTACGTTTAACGAAAACCAATTTTCAAGCTGGCTCCAATATAATTGTAATTAACCAGAAGTTTACTCGGAGTTTTCTTCTCACTGGGTCTGGGATTAAAGAAAAAGCCAATGGAAACCATGTTTCATCATTTCACCACATACATATGATTATGATGCTGAGTACTTTGAAGCTTTTTTAGAGGCAAGCTAATGGAGTACTCCGTTATGTCTTCTAAAGGTTTACTTAACTTTGTTAAATTGTGATGCTATGGTGAATCTTTTACGTGTTTGGAGATTCATCCATCGCTTTATAATTCACTAAGATGCATGATGCTGCATGATTTCTCTTTCTTTCTGATTTTTAAAAAAAAAATATTATATGTTTTGTTTCTTAAGGAATATTAATTTTAGGGATTTTTTGATTAAACATTTTAATTCTATATTGCTATTTCTACATTTTAAAAAAAATATCAATTGCTTTATAATTTTTGCACTCTTTTGTATTCCGCTTCTTTTGTATTGCTTAGTATTTATTTCTTTTTTTTAGTTTTAGAAGAAATTTAAAACAAATTAACAAAAAAAAACTAAAAATCAATAAATAGAATATATAATGGAATAACGGTATCTGTGATGTCTAGATTAGGATCTTCGACTTCAAATATTTTAGTATAAATATGTATGACTTCTCTCTAATTCTCTTACACCCTTCTAAATTGTTTAATCTCTTCATTCTTCTTTGAAAAGTTCATACAGTAATTCAAAAAACTATGTCTAAAATGCATAGAACAATGATCGAAATCGAATAAGTTCGTATAGTACTTCAACAAACTATGTCTAAAATACATAGAACAATAATCAAAATATCTCAAAACTATTTAAACTAAATTATTTGAATACTAATATATTTTACTTTCTTCTATACTATTTTCACGATCATGTTTTCAAATATTAAAGTACAATAAAATCTAATAAACAAATATACTTAAAATAGAAAATAAAAATCAAATGAATCTAAACTATTATTAAATTTTTAAACAATCAATTGAAAAATTATTTCATTCCGCGCTAGGAGCAGGAAAGTTCACTAGTATATAAATATTAGAGTCTCGCACGTGGATTATATATATATAAATTTTACTGTATGTAAATATCTGTCTTTTATGATTTCTAATATTTTTGTTTTTGAATTTGTTACGACATTGGTTGTTTCTTTAAAAAATATTTTAGTTATTTTTCTATCAAATTGTATATTACTGATTTTACTATGTTGTAAATCAAATTTGAAAGTATAATGAAATCATCTTTATTTACTTTTAGATATTTTGTTCTTATTGAAATCGTAGTTAGAAGTTTGAACATAACTTGAGTATGCAAATTTAGTGAAATAGACATTAATTCTATGAATTCTTTCTTTATTTTTTGGTTGATACCTCTCGCCGTGAGAAGATTATGAGATTTAACATATCCTTATGGCTTATCTTTTTTTCTTTAGACACATCATTATCAATGTTAATAACTCAGTTATTAATTACTTTTACTTTAGTTCTCTTCATTTTCTTCTAAAACGATCATTTTTGGTTTTATTATTTATATTCAATTACAATTTAGATTTTGTAGACTTTTTATATTTTATATATATATATATATATGTTTTTTTAAATAATATACAGTTAGATGCTGAGGTGGCATCATGAGAAGAGAGAAAAACTCTCCTTATATATATATATATATATATATCTCTAATTTTTTTCGCCAAGTATCTATCACAAATTTAATAGGTGTGAGGGTTGGTATCCGTTTGCAGATTAGAACATCTTTAATGGTGCTATATATCGTGTTTTAAACTCAATATTTAGAATAAAATGATCTACAATGGTACTTTAAATGTTGCTCTATAAATAGAAAAATGATCAGTATTGCTTTATATTTGGAGCAACACTATTTATGATTCTATTTTTTGAACTTTTATTTACAAAACAGTGTTATAATTTTTATATTTTTTTTCATTTTATACATAAACAATCAGATAACTATTAATATTACACTTAGTTAAAATTATACTACTAATAACTTGTTATAATATTATTTTAACTTAAAATACAACAACAATATATAGTAAACAATGAAATACAATAAGATAACAAAAAAATAAAATTAGAAATACATATTAATACTAAAAATTAAAGATAAAAATCTCAAAATAAATACGAAAAAAATTTAACACAATTTATTAGACTAGTAATCTAATATGTTGGTAAGTCATAATGAATTTTTATAATAATTAATGCTCAAAGAATAAGTTCATGTTAAATATTAAAAATAAAATAGATAGAATAATTTTCAAAATTTTTAAGTAAAAAGCTTTATAAACAATTAGTACTAAAAAAATATAATATGTTTATTATTTATTTTTAAAGTCAAATATAGAGATGACCATTAGAGTAAATTCCTTCTCTATTTTTAGAGAACTTTATATTTAGAGTCAAAAATAGAACTAACTATTGGAGATGCTTTTAATCAACATTGGGTATAGAGAGTAACCTGAGAAAATCGAATTAGTTAGACAGTGAGAGTCGAAGCTATGTCTTGGTTTAATTATAATTAACCCCCAAAAAAGAAGAAGTTATAAGTAACCTTATCAGTAAGAGTTGTTACACGTTGGTTGTATAGCATTGGAGTGTTATTGGAGAGAAGAGAAGTTCAATTTCAACCGTGTAATGTCAACTCGAGTATAGTGAATTGCTAGTGAGATCTTTAACTAAAAAATAATTCCTAGTGAGACCAGTCCGAGACATATATTCCTCATTATCGAAGGATCAAACTCGCTTGTTAAACCCTATGAGATGTCAAAAAAAAAAACATTTCCCTATGTTTTCTTTTGTTCTGTTTAGCTCCTACTTCGTCTTCTTCGTAGAGGTCCAGAATATTGCATTTGATGTCATCTAATACATTTCAACATTCGAAATTTGGAATGTTTTCTTTCTCAAAAAGAAAAAAAAAATTAAAAACATTCGAAATTTGGAACTTTTAGGATAGTAACTTGGGTTTGACTTTTCTGGGTCATACAATGCAAATAAGACTATCTTTTGACCGAAGACATGGGGCCAAGTCAAGATTCCATGTACTTTTGTTTGTGTGTTTTCTCCAAAAGATTCCAGATTTTGTAACAATTCTTAGAAAAGGGAGCAATATTCATGAATATATGGACCATTTCCCTAATTTATATGAGAGATTAGAAAAGATAATGGACCATTGTAGTATAACAGTATATTCTTTTTTTTTTTTTGTTGTTAAAGGGTTTAACACCAAGTATTCACTCATAATTTTTTTTTCTTTCTTTTCCCAGTATATTCACCTTTGGTTCCATTTACTTTTGTATCGTTTAGCATATATATGTATTCAAACTACTACTTTTGTATCATTTAAATAGATGAAAATTAGAAAGAAATTATATTAAATAGTTTGAAACTTTAATTTAACAAGAACACACTGTTTAACTTTAAATAATGCTTTCTTTAATAATTTTTTATATACTTACAATAAAGATATTGATTTTATCCTGATTGTTAAATATTCCCTCCGTTTCACAAAGAGTGTTGTTTTAAGGTTTTATTTTTGTTTCATAAAGAGTGTCGTTTTATATTTTCAATGCAGAATTTTAAACAATATTCCAGTTTTGACCCTATTGATTTAATGTATTAATTAGAGAAAAAAAGTTATTTAATGTATTAATGAAGGATAAAGTAGTATTTTTAATACTTTTCTTGTATGAAAAATGTCAGAATGACACTCTTTGTGAAACGAAGAGAGTATATAATAGCGATATATGATATGTATTTTGTAGTTTTCCCAATTTGCGTAAACATCATCTAAGAGTAAAATATATTTGTTCATTTTTTGGAGTCATGTTGATTCAATTTGTCCATATTTTGGAAGTATGGAATTTCCATAGCCATTAAATCAATAATGAAAGCACGAAGACCAAACTTTGCCAGCTTTGAAAAGCACGGTAACCCAGATATTCGAATTTTTAAATTAGGATTAGGGGACACAAAACCTCAAAAAAAAAACAAAACGGTTTAAATAAAAATAATTCCTTTAACGGTTATGTTTTGTTTCATGATTTTTGTTTTTAATAACCCGAAGATTCCAAACCAAAACTCATATTAATCGTCGAGGTCTATGAAAGTGTGTAGTATTCTTGCCCTTTCAAACGTATATAGTGGACGATTATGGTTGAAATCACAATGAAATTTATTTCACATTTTTTTAATAAATATAATTAAGTACACTTCTCACGAAAAATAAAAATCTTATTAGTATCTTAGCATTACGTTACGTGTATGTTCATGTTCCAAAAGTCTTACGCATACGCGTCATTAATTTTTTTGTGGTAATTAGTATAACCTACGTAGATCAATGGTGACAAAGGAAAACCTATTTCAATCCGATCGAAGATACATAATTATCTTTTACACAGAAATAAGTACCTAGGGTTTCGGAGCACTCCATAGACAATCTGTAGTCCATAGTAAAAAACAGCAAGAACAAAGTTTTGATGGTAAAGGTTTATTTAGATTATTGTTTAATTGCACGATGTTAAGTATTGTTTTTATCTGATTACACCAATGCTTGTCCTCATGGGCTGGCCAAAAAAAACAAACCAAGAAGAGCAAAAAAATTTGTAACTTTCAGAGCACAATCTGACATTTATTTCATCTTTTGTATACTCTCATTGACGGCATAAGAAGATGTTATGAGAAAAAGGGATCGTAGATATTATTATTCAATCTCTTATCGTCTCGCATACAAGAGTATCTCCTTTCCATAAACATAAAAGAGAACATACAACCAAATAATCATACTCAACCCACACCGCAACATAAGGTCCTTTGCAACGAAAGCCACACTTGTAACATCCTGGTCGATTTTTATACCATTCAAAGCCACTTTCCGTTGAACTCAAACTGTAGTCTAGGCTTCATATACCTGAAATCTCCGAGTACACAATCAATATGAATGGTCGGACCAGAGCTTTCGCAAGTGTAGAACATTATCCTTTGATCCATTTCTCTCTCGCATATCTCGCACCAGTAACTACCGATCAAGTCCTTGTCTCCATCGTAGCATAATGTGAGAGGATGCACATCGTATTTGTAACTTACCGGATTTGGTAAAGTAGCACACTTGAAATCCAAAACAAAATCGCAATCCATACAAGTAAGAACATAACTCGACTCTTGCTTGCAAACCACACATATCTTGCTATCTAGTGAAGTTTGGAACAAAGGATGCGGATAACAATCGTAGTTAAATGGTTCTGATACTGAACCGCATCTTACATCTAACTTGATATTGCAACATTCATACCTGAAACCACTGCATAGTCGGTCACAAGCAGAGAGCATAAGAACACTCCACTAGTCATCGGAAAACCCATAACTATCCTCTCATCATTGTAAAGAGTAAGTTGATGGTTGTGTAGTACATGCCGTTTCTTCCGAGGAAGATTAGCACATGTTTCATGGAGATTGAAATCATCACATTGCACACAACTGTAGAATCGATCAGAATAGACAGGACGTACACATGCTCTGCAACGCTTATATTCATCATCATGGATATTAGAAACACCATCCTCAAGTCGTAGATCGTGTTCTCGATGACTAAAGTGATTTATCACACCATCACTCACGACCCTAAACGGTTCTTCACATTCATCGTTTTCTTCCGGCTCGTCCTCAAGCTCTCGCCCATCCCACACATCTCCCCTCGTGGCACATCTTGAATGGACAACGTAATCCGGACAAATCGAGCAAGAATACGCCCCAAATCTCCCGTTTATCCTTCTTCGACAAACTCCACATGTCCAATCTCCAACACCAAGTAAATAAGTACGAGAGATACGATGTGTGTGACGTATAATGCCTATAACGCGTGGTAAGTAGCACTACAAGAAAAACATCATTTTACAACGGCCGAAATGGTCGTTATTTCGTCGTAATAGGGCTATTACGACGGACTACCGACGATTTCAAAATCGTCGTAAAGTCATAGGCGCCGGCTTGGCCTTGTCGCCGTCAACCTCCCACTTCCGTTTCCAGTCGGAAACGGTATTGTTGAGGCGGAATTTGACATTCTCCTTGAATGCCGTCTCCACACGTCCGTGTGCGGATGTTTTCCAATGCCAGTTTTGCTAGAAAAAAAAAGAAGTTAGTAATTATTGTAAAAAGTTAAAATTTAAAATTACAATTAAACGAAATGGTAAATTACTTACCGCAAAACACTTGAACCAAGTGTCAAGTGTGGCCTGATCCAGCTTCTTCCAGCTGGTATGGGGTTGTACGAAAAACCTTGATGATATCCGCAACGTTACAACCGACTGCATTGTCGGTCGTAAACCTAGTCAAATGGAAAGAGAAAAAGTAAATTAATATCAAATATATAAGAATAAATATTAATTAATTTAAAAAAATTGTAGGAAAAAAATTACGTACCAAAAGGTGCCTGGGGCTCGATCCGGGTCGAGTTTGTTCATGGTCTCACGACTGGGTTGCGCCAGAAGATCTTGTACCGTAAACTGGGCATACGGTACAGGCGGGATCGGATCAGCCTCAGGATCGGCATGTGCGGGAGCCGCTGGTTCGGCTGGTGGTGGTGGAGGCGGTGCCGGCTGCGGAACAACGACCGGTTGGGAAACCGTCCGTTGTGTTCTCGAGGACTCCGGGATGGCTGATCCGGTCGCCGAGGTAGACGGGGCCGTACCGTCAGAATCGACGAGCTGTCGGTAGTGAAATCTCTTAGCCCGAGGAGCCATATCGACAGAACCTACAAAATTTTAAAAAATTAGTTACTAATTTTTCAAATATTTATTTAAATTTACCAAAATCCGGGCCTAACTAAATTCCGAAACCTAAATCTAAATTCCGAACCTAAATCTAAATTCCGAACCTAAATCTAAATTCCAAACCTAAATCTAAAATAATATGTAATGAAATTAATTTAACAAAAATACTTACAAATTAATTGGCTGGAGAGTAGGGAGAGAAGGGAGAGGTAGATTTCTAGAGAGATAGAGAGATTTCTAGAGAGAGAGAGGGAAGAGAGGAATGAGCGACGAAGGAGGAAATCTCGCGTCCCTTATATAGATTTTGTGATCGTCGTAAAATCGTCGTAACATTACGACGGTTTTACGACGATTCGGTTGTATAATAGTCGGTCCACTGCATGACATGACACGTGTCGTGATGGGAGCATTTGACCGTTACGACGGTTTTACGACGATTAAACCAAAAACCGTAGGGAAATGGTAGTAACGTTTTCACCGGATAAGCTCCTGATCCCAGGTTTCGAGGTTAAGATTATAACGCTTTAAGAAAATTAACCCACGGTCTTGGATTCTACCATCGGGAAAATTTTTATCACGGACTAATGCACAGATCAAAAACGGTGCGAAGCAT